GTATTTAAGTGTTTTACACTCACAAAAAGAAGCCCATCATTCTATAAGTATTTGAAGAACTTGTAGCATTCCGCCAAAATTTAATTCTTCGTATTGTTAGCCGATACTAGGCAGCTGGTACACACCCGCAATGAAAGAATAGACCATTCCAAGCTTTTACTTGTTGTTAAACAAATGTTTAAACAACTCTATTCAAAAACAAAAACGTCTTCATGTATAATACTTAATGCGTTGTTTTGTTTGTGTACTATTACTTCATATTCTGGCAAACATGCGTTTCATCAACTTGTAAGATTTATAAAATATTTAGTTAGATAGTGCTTTTATGTTGGTAAGAACGAATTACTAATTATACCTAAAATCATTAAAAATAAAGCCCGCAACAAATGTGATTTGAAACCTGAAACAGCATTAACATAAATAACTTCATCTACGCCTCATACTCTATGTTTGACAGATTCAATTAACAACATATTTCATGATTTATTATTATTATTATTATTATATAGAATTTATTATATAGATTCTTTACATGTTTTTCAACAAGTTGCGTGAACACATCTTGTCATTACAGGCAATCACTGTATTTCGTGTGTTGAAGAGTATCGGTGGCATTAATAAATAAATACTTCAAAAAGACGTTAATCTGTGTAACTAGCTGCTTTTCACAAATTGAAATAACAAACAAATGCGGTTCAGCGTAATAAGTTCTGAAAATAAAAATAAAAGTTAAGATCACTGTATGCGAAAAAGAATAATTAGGCTAACGTTTCAGCAAAATGACTTCCATGGAGTCTTCATGAAGGTCGTTTGGCCGAAACATTGATCACATGTTTTTATTTTTTCCCTTGCTATTAATTTCTCTTTTTCTGCACTTTTTTTGGTTGCCGTTTAATGTAAAAATAAAGTACTTTTGGTTGTTGTGTCATGTACGAAATAAAGTACGTAAGCTAACGAGTTTTGTATAATATAACATAACATCATATTTTAGAACAACATGGGACCTATTGGTCCATCTCGGCTGTTCCCTCCTCAAAACTAAATTAAAATGATTTAAAAAATCAAAACGAAATTATAAACCAAGCTCTTTTCATTCATATACCTTTTTATTTATTGCCTCTACAACATCTGAAGGCAACCCATTCCAAAGGCCAACCACCCTGTTAGAAAAATAAAACTGTCTTAGCTGAAGATGACTCCTACTTTCCCGAAATTTATATTTGTGTCCCCTAGTCCCACTATTCTCATTGTTAAATATAAAAAGATGATACATCAACACTATAAATTCCCTTTACTATCTTAAACACCTCAATCAGCCCCCCTCTAACTCTTCTTTTTTCAAGAGAAAACAACTTGAGAGATTTCAGCCTCTCGTTGTATGACAACCCTTGGCC